GCAATCACCCAACATATTAGCTTGTTTTTGCTTGCATCGTCTTTTGAGACTTTACACACTGTGGTGGCCTGTTGTTTGGTGAGGGGAGGGCTGGAGGTGGGAGCTTCTTTTGGCATTCTGCCACTTAGTGAGATTTGTGGGGGGCTGTACTAGCTGTATAAAATATGGGTAGACCCTGAAAAATGTAGGGGCACAGATGACACTGGACTCTGAAATGTCACAGCTGATCCTAAAGAGCCCAAGCTTTTGAAGAGCCAATCTTGCTGTGTGGATTTTCTGGCTCATGAAAACTTAGAGGAGGCTTAGCCAAGCAGGAGCCCTACCTGATTCCTCACAGTCCAGGGGCCGCTGCACATGTTTCTAGCTGTTGACTCTACAAGCTGTAATCACAACCACTGGGTGCAGATATGTCCGAGTATCTGCCAGGGCACCTCTGCAGTGGGTGGTAGAGCCTTTGTAGGGCTGCTAACAAGGCTGTCCCCTTGGTGTGGTTGGGTGTTTACTATGGAACAAAGAAGCTTCTCTCTGGGTACACTGGTGGCTGGGAGCCTAGGGACCTGTAGGCCAGAGCCTCAGTCACTAAGCTTTATAGATGTCTAAGCCCCACAGAAGGTAGGTGGAGGCAGGTAAGCCACAGAATGACAGAGGGACAGTGTTGGCCCTAGTGAATTAAGAGAAAAGTGTCCTCTGGGAACTGGTTGGACTTCCATCAAATTTTCTTTTCTTTTAAAATTGTGCATGCAGGAGAGGAGTATGGAAAGAGTGAAAGCCTATTGTTGGTGGCCGCACGGACACAACTGGAAGATTTTGTTTAGTGAAATAAGCCATGCACTTAAAAACAAGTGCTGGGTGTGCTCATCCATCCGTGAAAGCCAAAAGTCTGATGTCACAGAAGTGGAGAGCAGAACAGCAGTTACCTGAGGCTGGAAACAGGTGAGAGAGGTAGACGAAGGCTGCTAACAGACACCAGAATATAGCTGTATAAGAGAAACATGTTTCAGTGCACGGTGGGCAATACTGTGATGTGATGTCAGGTCATAATTCATAAGGAAGTTTATAAGACAGGTAGAAAGGAAGGTAGAAAGGAAGAGCTTACAGTTTCCCAAGCAAGGGGAAAACATTAAATAAATACACTTGAATTGATCCGTATATGCTATGTATCAAGTAGCCATATTCCACTCCATAGCTATTATAATTACCATGTGTGAATTAAATAAATCGGGTAGAAAGAGGCAAACAAAAAGCCTTTCAAGGCAGCCAATTCTTCTTGAGGCAAACTGAACAGCGAGTCATGGCTTCTTGCTTCAGCAGACCTAAACCCATGCCCATTTGTGATGGAAACATGACCCCAGTGTATTTGTCTTTGTGATTAGTGGTCCGGAAGACCTTCCTGTGCTGTCCAATATGCCATTCTCCAAAACAGAAACCCAGGAGTCAGCGCTGCTGGACACAATTATTCTGTGACCTGTGCCTCCATTTCTCTGTCTTTGTACAAAAGCAATTGTGCTTGTTAGTCTTTGTCAACTTGGTACAAACTAGAGGTGCCTGGGAAGAGAGAACCTCACATGAGGATTTGCCTCCGTCAGATTGGCTAGTGAGCGTGTCTTGAGTAATCACTGATTTAGGAGGGTTCAGGCCAATGGGGGCAGAGCCACCCCGGGCAGGTAGTCTTGATTGTGTAAGAGCAGGTTGGCTGAGCAAGCTGCAGAGAGCAAGCCACCAAGCCACGTTCCCCATGATTCTGCTTTAGTTCCTGCTTTGACTTCTTGCCTTGCCTCACTTTTGGGTAGAATGTTTTAATCACAGCAACTGGGACACTGATAATGATGTGTACAACTCATAGGCCTATGGAGAGCACTAGACTAGTGTGTGCTGGAAAGAATGGGCTAAATCTCTTAGCCTATGTCAGCTTTTCCACCAGCTGGACATGTGCTGCTGTGGGAAAATACCAAAGCACCACTCTGTATCAACAACAACAACAACAACAACAAACTCTGAGTCCAGCAGCACAGGGCCCAGGGCCTCTCTGGCATTTTATCTCCACTCCCAGATTTCAGCCATTTTTGTTTCAGCATCGCAGTGTTTATTGCATCCAGGATCTACTACGACTTCATGCTTTTCTTCCAATTCCTTCCGTTGCTCATCAAACATTCATTTTAAGTGACAGATGCTTTATAACGAGATCGGAAACTCAGTATCCATTAGTTCATGGGGTAGATAGAAAATAAACACGGACATGATATTCCAGTGGCAGTGAGCACACAGGGCGGGGCTTCTAAATGCCATTTCCCACTGACCGGGAGTCAGTCTTGCAAAGGTTATACAGACTCAGTTATTCCAGAATAAACAGTTTAAAACAAGGAGAGGAGGAAGGAAAAGGACTATGAGGAGACATAACGCTTTAGCGAAATGACCTATGGCTCATTCTAGAAAAGGCAGAAAAGTATACAAGAAGCCAGTGCCAGGAGAGAAGGAAGTGGCCCAAACCATAGGTGCACGTCAAAGGCCCCAAGAGCCGGCTTCCAGCATCCCTAGCCACAATTGGGTCTATCTGAACCTCAAAATGAAAGACAACACCAACTGGATTATAATCTACCAAATAACAAAGATGTTATGAGTCCATTATGATGTCAGTAAATAAATAATAGAATCAGCTCTTCCTTCCAATAAATGCCAAAGCATGGTGAATGAGAGTCAAAGGAGCCTTGGGCATGCACCATGCCCTTGGCACACACTATGCCCATAATGGATTTAGGAAAAAGCATCAATGAAGGTTAGAGTGGCAGTGGATGAAAGTCTGATGAGGGACAAAAATATTCATTTATTTTCAAAAGCGTTTCCCCATGTGTCACCTACTAAGCTCAGAGGGGACAAGAATGGCTGATGGTGAAGGAGCCCTGAGAAGCCCATCCATCATCCATAAGGCTCAACGGGGGCATCAGCATTCCAGGGACAGATGGACACTGCATTGAAGGCACCATGCCAGGTCAGTTCACCCTGATGGCAAGGATCCTCTGTGGTGGGCACAAAGGGTCAGGACGGTGGGTGCTATCTTACTCACAGGTGCCAGCAGACAGATGACCAAACACAGTGCTGTGGTTCTGGGCAGACAGACAGCAGAGCAGCTGTAGAGGATGGCATCCAGATAGCCAGGGAAAGCTGGTCATGCCCACATCTCAGGCTAGCACTGCCTCAGGAGGCTGTGTGCTCATTGGCTAACTACAGTGGCTGTTTGGGAGACTGTCTTGTTAGACAGCATTGAAACATCAAGGTGAAAAACAGTCTGGTATGGAGTCATGTGCCTGTGACAGCCTCCAAGACTCAGGGGAGTGGGCAGGGGAGAGAGGGAGAAGAGAAGGAGGGAAAGAAACAGATGACCCTGAACTTCTGACTCCTTTGCTTCTACTTCCTAAAGTACTGGGACTACAGGTGTATAGTACCATTACCCAGCTCTTATAGGAATTTTAAATAGTCTTTAATTTCTGAATTTTCTCCCTACAACCTGAAGCTAGAGATGATGAGAAATGTGTACAGCCCACCCCTCCCAGAGAGAACGTAGTCCAATAGGAGACGACAGGGAAGACTGCTTGTTTCATCCACCTGGACTGAGTTATCAACGGAAAAATAAACAAACTGTATAGTTTCACCAACTTAGCTGATTTAAACATCACTAGTTTTGGGAGCCTAGGTCTCTCACTGGTTTGCAACACATTTCAAGTCTCCAACTAGCTTTGCAGGAGGCACTGCCTCTGCTGGCTTCATCATGATGTTTGCCTAAGTCACCTTTCCGAGTCTTGAAGGCTGCTTTTGCTGTTGAAAGCACTGCCTTACTCCCTGGGCTTGGAGGTGACTGACAGATGGCTGGACCAGAATGAGAACCCCAGTATTTGTCTTCATACCATGTCTGTCCTCTTTTCAGTTCTGGGTGTTAATCACCGAGAACTGTTTTGTCAGCTACATCAGAAGGCTATAACAGAGCTTTCTTGACCTAAACTTGTCTTTCTCTTCCCACTTGAAGGCTAAAGACACCCAGCAGCTCCCATGACCACAAACACCAGACTAGGAAAGCAGAGCAGCAGCATTGGAGTTCCTGGAGTGTCTCAACCTGTTTGTTCCGCATTGCTGTCCTTCATAGCTATCTCCATCTCTGCTGTGCGTCTGTAACCCTTCCAACCCTGCAGCTGAGGAAAACGCCCACTTAATCCTCTGGTCACCGGAGAGTCTTTCTTCTCCCTAGTAGTGGACTCTTGGATATTCATTTTCATATGGGAGACTCTCTGTGTGCAGACAGGGTCACATGACTCTGATAACACCTGGTGCTGTCATAACACTGAGGACGAGGAGCGACAAAGGGGCTGTGCTTCATATCAGACCCACCATTCTCACCAAGACTTGATAGAATTGGTTGCACAGTACACACTTTCCTGTCAGAGTTGATTTTTGGCTAGTGAATCTGTACAACATCCCCACCTCACCTCCAAGCTGGTAGAAGCTTAAGAGAAGTTCTGATGTTGTAAGATTTGACTGTGTACTTCACCAAACTAGGTGAGGGTATTAAAGAGGAAAACCGTCGATATAAGCAGGAGAAACATTTAATGAAATCCAGTACTGGATTTAAAACTGGAAAGAATATTCTCTTAACCTGACTTAACCATCTATTAGAAAACAGCAGCAACTGTAGGTTTTTAAGCTTCTCTTCAATGGCAGGAGAGAGAGATGGCTAAGTGCTATGCCACCTGTAAGCATTTCTACTCCATATCATAGCACGCACATACTGCAACACGTGAAACACAATCATCACTATTACAACTGATCTAAGTGTTACAGAACAATACACAGATCAGAACGAGTGCACGTTCAGCCAAGTTGCTAGATGATACATATAACATTAGCTAGCAAAGCCAACTTAAAACCAGGAGACGAGCCTTTACAAATAAGCCATAAGATCATGTGGGTTTGTAATGCTGCATTTGCCAGATGTTCCCAATGTAACACCTGGGTTTTCAGAAAATGTCCTTTACTATGGGTACAAAATCAGGGTTGGTGCCAAGTATAAGCTGTACATCAGACACTGTTCTCACCAAGACTTGATAGGATTGGTTGCATGATACACATTTTCTATCTATGCATATGTAAGTTGTCTATTACAAAATGTGAGATATAGCACAATTATTTCTTTTATAAACCAGTAATAAAAATATGTAGCTACAGTTTATTCAGAGATGCATAAGACCCAGCATCATAAATAATCCTCAACAAATCTGCTCATTCATTGTAATCACAAAATCCCAATGTGACAAGATGATCTAATATATACAGAACAAAGATGTAAGAGTTGTTCTACAATTTCTGACAACCAATTAGAAACCGATGTGATTAAAAATGGCTTACTGGTAAAGATGAATGGATAAAGTTAACAAAATAGAGTTCAGATACATTCCCATGATTATATGGACTCAGGACATTATGGTGTGGTGGCTTTATAAATGTATAAATCAGGAGGGAGGGAATGATCTATGGTTTTCAAGTGTTAGGAAAATAATTATTTCTGTATGATCACATTTAATCATTTACCTTACTGCTGACAAAATGCCCAGACAAAAGAACCTCAGGGAAGAAGGGTTCATTTTGGCTCACATTACAGGTGGCACAGTCTGTCACTAGCTGTCAGGAGGTCCACTGGTATACTGCATGGGCAGCCAGGACAGAGTGGAGCTGGACTATGAACCTCAAGGCCCACGTTCAGAGACTCACTTCTTCCAGCAAGCCATTATGTCTGGCTTTCCCACAACATTCCAAAAGAGCGTCATGAGCTAGGAACCACATGTTCAAAGACGTGAGTCTACGGGTGGGACGCTTCCCATCCAAACCACATTGTAACTAACAAGGCTATTCATGAAACGGCATCATGACCCTAGGTTATTAAAAAATTAAATGTCAAAGCTTTAAATGCAAAGGCTTCTGGGTGATAAGCAACACAAACTTGACACAGGAATGCATCGAGCATCTGGATTTTATGTGAAAGATCCTTAAAAATCCTAAACAAAAATTCTGTAAAATATCTAGAGCAAAGCTAATATAAAATGTGAAGACCCTTATAAGGAATGTTATCCAAGCATATAAAGGACTTAAATAAAATTAGGCCTATCATAATACTAATGGGCAAATTATATTAATTATGAAGAAGTCTATTATCTTCCAATTAATGGACAAACTAATGCAATCCTGGCCAAAAGAACAACACTTCAGTGGAACTTAATAAGCTAATTCTATCATTTGCTTGGACCAGAAAATGCACAAAAATAAGACATAGAAGAGATAAAAGGGAAAACAGACTTTCCCACAGGAGGCAAACGTCAGCATGCAGAGCATGAAGGAAGGACACGGGTCTGACGTCAGCTCTGCATCACAGTGCGATGAGTCAAAGTTAGCATTTGGAGTGGGTAGGGGGAGACGGACTAGTCCATAATGGCTTTTCATTTTTGCCTATTTCATAACTGTCTTTCATTTATACTTAAGAAACTGGCTGAATATGGTATTCTGTCTGGTGTTAAAGTAATCAGGGAAATTCAAGTTAAATTAAGGTTATTTTATTAAACAAGACTGATTTTAAAACAATGTACCAAGATGGAAACTAGCTGCTGTCGGTAAGCATAGGAAAAGTGAGCCTGTGATGGGTTTGTAGGTCAGCAGTCTGGCGAAAGCGGAGCTGCATCACAGGAGTAAAGAGGCTCACATAACGTAAAAGTTAGACACACAGGAAACTTACGGCATTGGTATGTTACATATATTAAACCAATCAGATGTTAAAACAGTGTTAAATTACGAGTTCATTTATTTCACCCCAAGGTGTCAGGTCAAAGACAGCCAGCCGTTCTTGACTGGTAGACCAACCATCCTCTCTTGAAATACCAGGAGACCCCTAAGACTCTCACAGACATCCTGACCAGCAAAACAGGGAACTTTCAGGGGCGAGCACACTGTGACTCTTTGTGTAAGCTTCAAGCTGGAAGTTTTCCATCTCACTGCCTAGAACTGTAACGTGGCCACACTATCTGCAGGGAGGCTGAGGAACAATTATTAGCTAAGCAGTCACAAGTCCAGGGGATACACAGACAAGAAGGAGCAGCCCACATCAGCAGCCATGCAAATGCCAGGGTAACTGCACAGGGCTCTGGAACACAGCAAGATCAGCACAGAGTGGAAAGGCAGGAGTGCTTAAAGGATTTTTAGCAGTGACAATAAAGTAAAAGCTGGTATTTAAAAAATCTTTTATTTGTAATTATTTAACATATTTAATACATTAAATCTATTTATACTACACAAAGTATTTAATGTTCAAAAACTCAGATTGCAGCTCAATGTATAAAGGTGCTGTACATAGCTAAAAAGTATTTTAACCTAGAGCACTGGTCCCTAAGTTTCTCCCAGCTTGACTGGATAACCATTTTTACAGATTGAACCTTCCCAGGCTGGGCACAGCTGGAACATGGACTCCTTCCTTACTGCACGGCAGGTCACTTGCGACAGTTAAGAAGCGACTCTACCTTCTCTGCTCAGTGTAACTTAGACCTCAGGCATTACTGGCACAGCACAAACGTTTCACACTCGTGAGTCAGGCCGGTAGTCAGCCTGAGGACAAGGGCAACACCATTCCCCTGTAAGCCAATGACTAGAAGAAAATAAATAAACAAACGGGTGTTGTGACTTCCTTCTGAGTCAAGTACTAAAGTTTAGAACTTACTGACCTATTTAAACAAACCCCTCCCACCATCTTTAGATAATGATGACAGAGAAGAAAATACAGACTTCCTTCTTTGATACATACGTATGAACTGGGATGGAACTTGGTGGTAAAGCACACACTTAGCATGTGCAAGGCACCAGTCTGTCTTGAGCATTTAAAACACACAAACAAGCAACAAAACCCAAACCTGCTCATTTAAGAGTCCTGTAAAGAATTATTTATAGGTAATGATTTGACAGATAGCAAGCATCTTTCTGTATGTGGCCAGTGAGTCAGAAATAATTATTCATCCTGTACCAAGGTTCTAAGGTTATGAGATACTGTGAAGTGGCTTATGGGATAGGGTGGATAAAGAGAAGACACGTTCCCAGCACCAGCAAGAAGAACCGAGCTCTACTCTTAAGTAGAATGTGCTCCCTGACAGCATCTTTTGGGTTAAGTAATGTATTTGCCCCATTAAACAACTGTTAGGTCCCTGATTTTATAACTTGACTCATGGTACCACCAAAACAAAACAAAAACCCTCCAATTATTTTCTTCAAGTTTTAGTCTTGAGGTAGATGACACAGTAAACACCACACACGCATATACAAACACACACACACACACACACACACACACAATCACTAATCAAGGATCAGTGAGCCAAGATTCCCATTCAAAAGAGTTCAGCAGTATTCTGGTTTCAGTTTCCAAATCCCTTCACCGCCAGGAGTTCTGTGGAAATTGCACAGATTTCTCAGTAGTTCTCGGAAGACACAGGACTGTGCCACGGACAGCTTGGATTCAAACTCCTGTAGGATTTCCTGAGTGCTGGCCTGGCCATCCACCTGGGCCTGGAAAGCAATGAAGTTCCTCATGTCCACCAGAAGGTCATCATGTTCTGTGCTGCAGGGAGGCGCGGCAGTGGCCTCAGCAAGGTGCTCGCCGTCACTCTCCAAGCGCTCCGGCAAAATCATGTGGTTTCTTGCTCGCATTCTGGCCAAGAGTGAGGAGGAACTGGGCGCTCCGGACAAAGATGTTCCATCTTCTTTGCCACTGAAGTGCTCAGGAGTGTGAGTTTTCCCCTCTTTTTTCATGTTATTCTAGAGAAAGAAGACCATGTGTTAGCAGATTAGACTTACAGATTATTCCACTATTTCCCCAAAGGCTATAAGGACCCACAGAATAACTGAAATGCCACATGTATGGTGAGATGCAGGAGAAAGACGTGGATGCCATCCAATGCCAAGGTAGAGGAGATGTGGACATGAATCTACCCATTTATAATGGGCATTTCATAAAGAAATAAGCAGGAAGAAGAGAATGAAGCCATCTCCTGGATCCCAGAGAGTGAGAGCAGGGGAGCTGAGGGAGACCTTGCCTGCAGGCACAGTGCCTGGGCGGATCTTCTAGAGGCCTAGGGCAGCTTTCTGTGGCCATGGCTTGTCCTGTTCTTTCTCCTGCATGCACCCTGGCCCAGACCATTGGACAAAGAGCAGTGTCACTTTCTTCACTTTTCAGCCTTCTTCCTTTCCCACCCTGCATCATATGTGCTTCCTTCAAACAACAGACCTAACTTGGAAACTGCCTTAGACTCCTGCTACTAAAAGCCCAGAACATGGGAGACTGGGAAGTGTCTGTTCTCAAAGGAGTTCACATGGAGCTAAAACTCGAGTCTTAACCTGAGTCTTCATGTGTGAGCATTGCCACATCCTTAATCAGACAGACAGAGTGGTCTTCTCCCAGTTTTACCCTTGCTGCGTGTGGCAAAGGATAGGTGTTTTGCCCCACACTCAAGGGGGATCTCTAACCACTTAGTTTAGACAGTGGTGTCTCTAGAGCTGACACACCTGCAGAGAGATGGCTGTGCATATTAATTTTCTAAGGACTGAACAGAGAATTTGCTGAGATTTTGTGCTCTACGAAGTATTCAAATGAAAGTACAACACAATTCTGAGTCCACAAGTATCAAATGTCACCACGTAGTTACAACCATCTTCATCTTCACACCTAAATGACATTCTCCTGGCCATCCACACAAATCTCAACATGAGAAGCAGCCAGGCTACCCTGTTACCTGAGTCTTTTCTGTTAGCGATGAAGGACGCTGCACAGGGAGGTTGGAATTCCTTTTCTGACCGAACCTATGCCTAAATAAGAAAGAGAACCAGGTAGATAGGACATCAGATGCTGCATCAGAGGCCAAGGTACTCTCAACAACTAGCCTCTTCCTGGGAAAACTGCTGCCGTCAGATCCCCACACTCCTGCTCTACTGCCTTGACTGCTACACTCCACTCTTGTGGGATGTGTGAATGGGATCCATTCAACATGCTCATTCAACACTGGACAAGAGAAAGCATCCTGGATAATAATTACATAATTATATGCTAATATTATAATTAGCATAATAATTACTGATAGCTATAGACTGGCTAATTGTCTTATTAACATTTAATCGCTATTTATATTTATCACCATTATTTTTTTAAATACTTGGTGCTTTGCCTGCATGTATGTCTGTATAAGGGTATTGGAATCTGAAGCTACAGACAGTTGTGAGTTGCCTTGTGGGTGCTAGAAACTGAACCCGAATTCTCTGGAAGAGTAGTCAGTGCTCTTAACCACTGAACCATCTCTTTACCCCACTACTTCTATTTTAAACATCTCTCAAGCAAAACTGATCACTTCTTCCCAGGGAAAAGCTATCTCTAGAAAGTAGGAGATGAAAGGGAAGAAAGACAACAGGACTTCCCCAAGTCACTCAGACCTGCCCCATACAATGTCTCCCTGAGGGAACTTCTTGTCTCAAAGAGAACAAGCCTTGGCCCACCCTGACAGTGCAGCTAGCCTTAACCACTGGAACTCCTTGCAACCATGCTGGGGATTGGTCTCTTACTTTACTCCTGTTGGTGCACCAGAAATACCCCTGTGGCCAGTCCAGGTGGGAACACCAGATGCTGCCCCCAGGCATTGCTGACGAGAGAGCCTCAGAGCTTTCAAGGCATCCTGAGCCACTCGGTTGGCTTCTGCCTCCACCAGCACATAATCCGGACTGGACCCATCTATGATGGCATCATGCTTTACAACACTGTGCACACCCACTAATGAGAGTAAGGAAAGAATGACAGGAATGATTTGGCTTATGTACTGCAATACTACACACTGTAATACTACCCACAGCGATACTACCCACTGAACTACTACACACCATAATACTATACACAGTAATATCACACACGGAAATGCTACATACTGTAATACCATATATTATAATACTATACACTGTAATACTATGCACAGTAATACTCCACATTATGATACTAAGCACAGTAATACTACACTCTGAAATACTACATACTGTAATACTACACACAGTAATACTACACATTATAATACTACACACAGTACTACAATGCACTGAAATACTACAACTGTAATACTATGCACTGAAATACTGCACACTGTAATACTGCATGCTGTTATACTATGCACAGTAATACCATACATTATAATACTACACCCTATAATACTATGCATAGTAATACTACACACTGAAATAAATACTATGCACTATAATACTATGTACTGAAATACTACACAAAGTAACACCATACATTATAATACTACACACTATAATACTATGCACAGTAATGTTACATGCTGAAATACTACATATTATAATACTATACACAGTAATACTATGCACTGAAGTAAATACTATATACTGTAATGCTAGTTTCACAGGAAAAAAAAAAACCACAACACTTTTAGCTGCTATTTTTTGGGTGGTAGCAATGACTCAAGAATTTCACAAACGCTTTCTGTTCAGACCTGCCACTACCCTACAAGGCATAGTTATGAATTACCCTTGTTTTAAAATACTTAAAATAGAATGCTTTAATCATAATTTTAACATTTAATCTCTTCCTAGCTATACTGTGAGAAAATTAAAATATTAATAACCTTTCAAAGTAAAAATATAAAGCAGAAATAAGAATTTCAAGCAAATTAACCTTCACGGGAATGTTAATAGAATATACTTAACAGAATAATCAGTGGAAAGTTCATTTCCCTGAGTATTTGCATCAGTAAAAATGAACAGCAATGCAAGATGTGACATGCCTATAATCCCAGCTCCTGAAAGGCTACCGAAGAAGGATCAGAAATTCAAGGCCAACACAGGATACACAATGACACGCCCCAAAATAAACAAACAAATAATAAAATTAAAGTGAGGATAAAAATAAAATAAATTTCTAACTAGACATAAATATAAGCAAATAATTATGCTCCCAAAACCACACCAAAATATAAATCCTAGATTACTAGATAGCAAAATGAACAACTCACTTAAGGTTAAGGAAAAAAAAAATTAATGGACTAAAGCCAAAAGAGAAGCTTCTCTTTGGAAAAAGGCAAATCATTATAGGAATATTTGTATACCTTTGTGCCAATTGGAATAGAAACCAATAGCAAAAAAAGATTACAGATGATGCAGGTAAGAGTCATGGGAATTCAGGGTTGGTTAATGTTAACTAATCCATTATCTAATAAGCTTTGTGATGCTTTTTTCAATTCCAACCATTAATGTCTCTATGGTGAAAATGCCTCTGACAAACTTCATTACCCATACCTGAAAACCCATTCCCCAAACCGGGAATTTCCTTAATAAAGCACGTGCTTTATCCCAGCTCCAGACTCTTAATGAGTAAACACTCCAGGTTATTTCTACTGTAGTGATGGATAACATTCTGCTAGCATTACTGGCTAATACATTAATAATTACAGAGAATCAAGGTGTGACAGAGGCAACACAGTTTTCCCAGAGTTAGTGCCTTCTTTTCTTTAGTACCCTTCCTTTTCCTCCCTCCCTCCTCTCCTTCCCTTGTTTTCTCTGGGCTAGAGATGGGACTCAGGGCTTCATGCACGCTAGACAAGTGTTCTGACATTGATCAGTACAGCTCCAGTCCCACTCTCTTTTGAAGTTTTAATGGATACAAAGCTAGAGGACTCTAGAGAATCAATGACAAAACAAAGCAGTAAACCACCCAGAAGAGAATCGAATATAAACTAACCTATAACCTTCCTGTTAAACAGCAGTTAAAAGATACAATGATGGGGAAACTCCACACACAGTAACAATGAACAAAAACCAATCCACATAACAACAAAAAGGTAAGAATAGATGTATACATTTTATCCAATTTCACTAATAAAATAATGCAAATTAACATGAGAGTCAGGACAGACAGAAAGGGAACTTAGGGAAGCAAAGTTACAGCCAATCAACACTCGCTGTAAAGACTGCTGACACGATGAGTATTCCTTTGGTGCACATCTATTGTATGACTAATAACAGGGGCCCCAGCTTGAGGCCTGATGTGTATGACTTCTTGGGTGAGGCCTCACTCCTCTCCCTGGACATCTCCAAGAATCTCAAGCAAAACTGTTAGCTCTGTTTACAGCTAAGACATCCTAACCTTCCTTGTCCAGAGATCTAGACTTTCACTCCAGCATCTGTAATCCTGACAGCTGCCCTGAGAACCACCTGGTGGTCTTACTCAGGTTTTTTAACAGCTCTCTCAAGATAGTAAATTTGAATGCTATCTGAATCCTATGTAAAACTAGCATTTAAGAGGAGAGAGACGGCTGTGACCACTCGAAGCCCACACCCATGCTCTCTGGTACCTTACTTTCTTCTTCTGAGTAGCTCCCTTCCTTCTGTAATCCTCCTGCTTAACCCGCTGCTTAGCCCTAGATTAAAAGATCTTTATTGAATTCCAACTCTTGTTTATATAGGCTAGTGCTCAAACTCTTCTACACTGAGGCCACTAATCTCAGCATAACCTGCATCAAGGTCCCTAAAAAAACTAAGGGAACTCCTCGGGCTGCTATGGCTACCATACTGTAGCTGTACTTCCTGCCTGTCCCTCAGACATGGACATCTGTCTGCCTTCCTGCCAGCCTATCTGTCTATCTGTCCCTCAGACACAGACATCTATTTCTTTTCTTTTTTTTCTCTTCTTTTCTTTTCCTTCCTATCTATCTATCTATCTATCTATCTATCTATCTATCTATCTATCAATCACCTACCTACCTATTTATCTGAGACAGGGTACCTCTGCAGCTCTGGCTGGCCTGGAACTCAGAGTCCACTAGCCTTTGCCTCCCAAGTGCTGGGATTAATGATGTGCACCACAGCACCTGGCTTCTCACATTTATGTAGGCAAAAAAAAATAAAGCTGTAATACAACAGTCTTGGGATGGCCATCAAGAGATGCTGAGGACAAATGCTAATACGAATCTCTTTTTTCAGGTGGGGGTAGGACTATTTCAAAACTAAAAACATCCCTTATGTGACTATCTTCTCCTGGTGACCTCCCTTCTAGGAATTTTAAGACACTGTTATGTCTAATAGCAGGACAATACATGACACAAGGTTATTCATCATAACACTATAACTGAAAAGAGCTTAGCAGTCTATGTGCTCAATGTGAAGAAATGAGGGTGAATCCATGTAAAGGCCACAGAAAGGGAGAAGGGTCTCTATGAATGAATATGAGAGGACTATATGGAAGGATATACAAGGCTTTTCAAAGGAGCAGAACACACAGTGTAAAAAAATATAGTTATACATGTGCCTACTCTGACAAAAAGAAACACAGGAAGGCAATGACATCACGACTTGGAAAGGCCTCTTCGTGGTACATGGGCACATGGGACTCCAGCCTCCTACATCTTACCCTGCTGAAGAGAAGATCATGTGGACGCTGCCCTTCGTTCTACAGAGGTGACTTATAATCATCTCTATTCTCAAGGCTCAAAACCTTGTTTCTTCTAGACCCTTCCCCAGTTACAGCTCTTCACACTTCAGTTTTTCTCTCTACCATCTGCTTTGGCCTGTTTGTTAGTATTCTGTCTAAACTCCACCTCCACAGGGATGTCTAACACCGTGTGTTATTATGCTGTGGTATGTTATTCTCTCATTTTCTGGCTCGGGTTTTATTTTGTTTCTTGAGTGTGGGAATGTATAGCTTTCATCATGTTTGAGATATTGTTTACCAGCATCTCTTCAGAGTGACATACTGCCCTCCTCTCCCTTCTTGGTCAGGACCTCAATTACCATTACAGGAGGCTGCTGACATCCCACAGTCCTTCTGCTTCTGTGACTTTACTCTTTGCAGAGCTTCTCCGCTCTCAGGTTCACTATCTTTTCTCCTGTTATGTCTAGCATGCTCCATCTCCTACCAGGCATTTTTCACACCAGCTATTACATCCTCGTATAAGTTTATTTTCAATGTATGTGTACATCTTTTATGCCTCATTTTGAATATATAGAACAGTTATAATTATTTAATGTCTGCTAATTCCACCACCTGTGTCAGTTCCAATTTATTCCCT